CTACTGCTCGCGCTTTCTTCGTACCGTCACGCTTCTCGGTAAGAAGGATAGCAATAGGCAAAACCTGCTTTGCGGTCGCTAGCTCCTCGTCAGTAGCTGGCTCCCGCACTTTATAGGCTTCAAGTCTACAATCTTCCTTGTTGGTTGCTGCGTTCCATTCGACTGAGTCTTTGCAACGAGCTGGATCCAACTTGGCCGATGTAGTCAAGTAACACTGGACGTCGAGGAATTCCTCACCTTCCTCTCGATCATCCTGTGCTGCTATTGCTGCGGCAAACGCACTTGCGTCTTTTTTTATTTCTTCGAGCTCTTTTTTTGTACGTCTCTCGCGCTTTTTCTTGTCCTTTCTCCCTTTGGGTCGTCCACGTCCTCGCGGCTTGGAGTTGCGGTTGCCAGCCACAATCCTTGCCGGAGACGGGCTCGCCTTTCTTGGACTAGATAAGCTGCTGTGAGTGGGGTGATCGTCCAGATTCCCCTCCTCAGGTTTAACACCTTCAGGCTCGGGATGTATCTGGCCCGGATCATCTTCCCTATCCAGACTTTCCACCACTAACGTCTCTTCAGGACCGTCAGGCTGCCTACCAGTGTACTCCGAGACATCCACCCCCAGCCGGTGCGCAGCCCTTTTGATCAGACCGACACACGGGAGAGATGGCGCACACGACGCTCCACTGGGTAGGGCCTCGATTGCGTCACACTCGACATAGATACCTTTGGAGTTAGGAACTAGGTCTTCAATATTCTTCGCGAGGTACTCCTCACGGAACTTGACGTCGATGGTAGAATATTCCATCCAACGATGTCCCGCGGCGGACCGGCCATCCGTGACATACGTCCCAACCCGCCAGCCCGAAGACTTAGGACAAAGGCCGAGAAATACACCGCGACGAAATGGCGCGGACAGCTTTGGAGCTACCACATTTACTCCCCCCTCAGGAGCTTCATGAACTTCGCCTTTCTTGACTTGTTCACGAAAATAAACGAGACAACCAAAACGCCGCAGCATCCTTGTGCCAACTTTTGAACTGTCTGTTTCTCCCAGTTCTCTCATCTAGAATCTCTGCAGGAGTCTCTCCGTCGTACTCGGGCATTTTGCTATACTTATGCGGAAGGCGGTTCCAGCATGCTGCAGCGTACTCGACCGAGTAGCACCACAGACGCTTGCCCACGTTCACCAACATCGCACGCACAGCGCCGAATATGGTCCGCTTAAAGCGTTCGCAGGTTCCGTTCTGCTCTGGGTTGTAGGGAACCGTAGGAGCATCACCGACCCGCAGCGATTGCATGACCTTGGTCATGGAGTCACTGCCCAGAGCTGGCTCATTGTCCCGACGGACGAACCATGCCGCTTTGTCCTCGAGGGTCAAAGCGTAGTTCTGGCGAATGCCTTTTATTACTTCTTCCAAAACCTCAACGCAGTCACTTTTCAGCTTAAGAGGGACACAGAAACACTTCTTGATGGCATCACAGATGACCACCACCCAGCACGCAGGTGCGTGACCGAATCGATACAGGTTTAATACCTACCGCGAAGTCCATCGCAAGTAGTTTCAATGGTTCAGGTTTGTAATTACTAGTGTCTCGCTCCTTTGCGTGAGAGCTTCTCGCGCCTTTCGCTTTGTCGCATTCGGGACACAGGACATTCAGACCATCTACATGAAAGTGTCCGAATCTTCTATGTTGTTCTAGGCGCGTAAGGTGACAACTAGCAATACTCTCTTCGATTGTAATGCATGCAATATCCTCCGCGGTGTCTCTAGTCGCCTGACCCCGGAGGCCCATCACGAAAAGACCACACCCAAGGACTGGGAGGGTCAACCTCTCGTGGTTCTTGATTGGTAGCATCTGACCGGATTCCCTGTTGACTAAGGAACCGCCAGAGCTGTTGTAGTTCAGATCCCTCCCACGATCACTGAGATTGTCCTCACCGAGCCACGGAAGAATGCGATCAATGTCTTTAGGTAGATGTTTAAAGTAGACGCCATAGGGTAAACCTAAAGCGTTTTCCTTCAGTTTTCCGACAAAACCATCACGAGCCCCGGCCGTGCCGTTGATTCGACAGACGTTGCTCGAGATGTCAATAAAATCCGATTTGTGTCTAGATAAATACTTGCTTGCACATGAATCGACCAAGCTCACTTCGTCCTTGGTCTGTGCAGTAAAACAGCTAGAATAATATACGCCGAAATCTTCTAAATTCTCGAAATTCAGCATACAGCTACCATACTCCGAGATAAATACTCCTCTTTCATCTGGTCAGGCTGGTCCTTGCCAGACCCAACCACCCTGCTTTCCACCGGCTCCCTGCCCTTGATTCTGGTTGTTCGTCTGGTTCTGGTTCACCGGCGGACACCACTGCGGATGCTGGTTTCCCCAGACACCACCCCACTGACCTTTCCCTTGTCCTTTGTTAGGATTCCAGTAGCAACGGTCAGCCTTGTGGCCTTCCTTGTTACAGATCCAGCATTTGGGTTTGGTCACAGTGTTGTAGGGAGTGCTCTGGTTCCGACCAGTCTTGCCACCTTTCTGGCCACTTCCGCCCTTGGCGTTAGCTTTCGGGGGCAGGCCATGGGCAGCCAAGACACTCGCTTCGGTCTGCTTGCGCAATTTGGCTTTCATGCGTTTCAAGGCTTTCGCCGAGAACACCTTGCCAGAAGCAGCATTTTGACCATCATCAGCGGAGTCCGGCTCCTCATCGTCATCATCTTTCTGACGTTTGTTTCCCTTCTTCTTCTTCGTCTTTTCCTCGACGACCGGGAAGGCCTTGCCGAAGGACGGATTCTCGATCTTGTACGAACCTTCCTTGACCAGCTGCGCGAGCTTCTTCTCGAGACGGTCGCCGATCTGCTGGGGGGTGATGTGATCGGACTCGTCCACGCAGCGGTCGATGGTCTGGCGGAAGGCCGACGCGAACATCTTGGGCAACTTGTCCAGAATGTTCTTGACATGCTGATCTTCAGCCGGACGCCCGGGCTCCGGGACGTAGACACTCGGCGCCATCGCCATTAAGTCGTGGATCTGGGCCAGGAACGTCGGAGCATCCTTCGGCGCGTCGCGGTTGTCGAAATGCATGGCGTCGATCGAGGACGTCTTGATGTGCTGCTGGTCACGGGAGGCAACATTGAAGCGACCAACATCACGAATACGCATGAACAGCTGCGCAGCGTCGTCGTTGATGTAGTGCTGACTGTTGACCCACGTGGACACGGACCCGGTGCACGACTTGTAGATGGCATCCCTCAGGTCGCGCCACTTCTCCCGGGTCGCGTTATTGGCAGTATTGTTCGCCTGCGGAATCCCCGGAGGGTTACCAGCAAGACGATTATCCCAATACTCCTGGAGTCCGAGGCGAGAAACCTCGTTCGTGACTCCGCGATGCCAGACGCGCCAGTCCTGCGCGCTGGACAACTTCTCCACCAGCTTTGCCTCTTGGCCCATTATTTCAAATAAACTTATCTGACTAGAAGAGCCAGTTTGAGTCTCAAGGCGTAACGTAGTGTTAGTGGACTTGAGAACACTCGCACACACTTACACACGTTTGCTCCACTGAGCTCGTTATCAACAGCAGTTCGACGAATTCTCTCAATTGCAAGTAAGCAAGCAAGTGACGCAAGTCTCTTGCTGCGTTACATCCTGTAGGTTCAATTCATCCAAATTCATCACATTCATATGGACCAAACCTGGTCAGAGTCAAGTGGCCAAACAGCATGGGAGTCCACTCCTCAACCTGCTCAGATTGGTGCTCGACCCTGGCGGGAGTCAAGTCCCCCAGGGCGACCATTCCGAACGTCTGGACCGAGCTGAGTCCATTCATTTCACTACGATCCTGATGGCTTTGCCTTCGTAGTATTTGGGGGATTCGCGGAACATGGTGACGAGTTTCCTTCAGGATCTAGATAGATTCTGACCATTTCCCTAAGGATCTAGCTAGTTCAGGTCATTCAGAACTGTCATTTCATTGAGGAGCAGGCGTCATTTGGGGCGATCGTGTTACGTGTGTGCGGGATCGATTTCCATGACCAACAGGGATAAAGTTGCTTTGCCTGATTTTATTACTTATATCAAAAAATGTCACTTGTGCTTTTACTTTTGCTATCCGATAAAGAGGATTTCGGAATAAAAGCGGCAATTTCGTCGACATTGAATCTGATGAGTTTCGCGTATGAAGCAGCATGAGCATCACAGTCTCTGTCTGCGAAAAAGCTAAAAAGCCGTCTACAGTTGTCATTTTATAGTAGTTCCGCGACAGGTGCGAGGTGAATAAAGTATTTCGATGAAGACTGGGCATATCGAACAAGTGCGAAACTGTTGCAGGTCATGCAGCTGCAAGACTGCGGCGGCAAGCAGGGTTGCATGCTTGCTAAGCGGCCAAAGTACAAGTCGTGAGCGCGACCAGGATCGTATCCTTGAGCAACAAGAGTGGGGTAAGTATAAGTAGGTTGTAAATTAGCGCGACGCTCGTCACCAGTCGAGAGATTGAGTTGTCCTATTTTCTTTTCAAAAAGCGGGCGTTCTTTTTTGGGGACGATGGCGGGTGATTACATACTAAAGTCATAATTATGCACAACATGCCGCAAGAGCTGGGCACCATCAGAATCGAAAGGAAAGACGTTTAACCACTGGCCATCTTGCGCCGCGCAGGATGAGCCCCAAAAGAAGATACTAGCCGCCTCCCCGCTTCTTGTTTCCCCCGCATGATCGAGCCATGTCGCAAAAGCAGCCCCGGGAAACTGCTGCAGCCTCCACCGCTGCAGCCTCCACGACCGCAAGTGCCACCGCAAGTACTTCTAGCGTATGCACAAGTGCAAGAATGTCTGGGTCGGGGAGATTGCGAGATTTGTCATGCTAGTCTGGCATGACTCTAAACTCTGTATTGCGTGCCCGCGAAGAGCTCTTCTTGTTTGTCATGCAAAAACGCAGTTTCTCATGCGGAGCGCGCAAGCGCAACTCTGAGCCACGGAAAAACTTGTCATGCTGGGCAGCGCATTACAGTGCGCTCACTCTTCCCTTTCTTGCATTACAAATTTCCAGACCCAGACATATTTGCATTTGATATAACGCGAAGAAGCGCAAAAGCGTGGACGAGGACCGGGTCGGAGACGAGACCATTATCAAATGTAAAAATGTCTGGGTCTGGAAACTTGTGATGCTGGGTGGCGTATCATGATGAGGCCAGACATGCTGGCTCAGCATCACAAGTTTCTGAGCTTCTAGGTGTTGCCTATTCTGCATGACAAACTGCGTTTCTGCATCAGAGAAAAATGGAGCTCTTGGGTAACTTGCATGACAGATTTAAGAGTCATGCCACACAAGCATGACAAACATGCATTCTTCCAGACCTAGACATTTTTACATTTGATAACCATCAAGCGAAGACTAACAAACAGAAAAATCCTCCTGCACAGACATAGTGAAACGGAAATTTCTGTTGCTGGATTTGTGTACACGACAAATCAGCGCTGTATTGCAGCAAGCGCTTGCAGGCACTTCCAAAGCCTGATTAGGTCTGCAAAAGGCTAGCACTCAGGCATGACAGACAGCTTTGCGGTAGGCAAGAGCGCATGACAACTTGGCTGTGGACTGCACCACATGGCTCCCATTTGCCTCATATGCAAGACAAAGCTGATTTGTGGCCACAGAGCAGCATCACAAATTTCCATTGTGAGTATGGTGAGGGGGGATTTTTCCTCACGATAAAGACCCGCACGGCTGAATCCCTTTCTCCCACCCGTCTCCGAGGAAACGGAAGAGGATGTCAGCGAGGCCTTGGGGGACGATTTTCCCTATCCCTCCGCCCGGGATGCGGGGAAGGCGAGTTCGCTGCTCGGGCAGACCTGGAAGCAACGCTTGGCAAGCCTACCCCCCGGCGAGTGGAAAGGGGCACTGGGTTTGGGGTACTCCTTCCAGACGCAGAAAAACGCGTCGATGGCAGATCTGGACCGCAATTTGGTCCGGAAACGGGAACGGGACGGCACTTCGGAGGAGGAAGCCTACCTGGACTACCTGCTTGGCTCGGTCGACCACGACTACGAAGAGCTGCTCGCAATCTTCCGCGCAAAAACTGACTCGTCGTCTCCTGGGGACGGCATTCTTGCAGACTACCAACATCATGCTGCAACTACTGCGATCTCTTCGACGTCCTCCACCACCCGGGGGAGCAATTTAGTATTTCGCACCTCGGGGCTGCCGCAGCATGCTGGTACGGCTGCGCACCAGTACAATCATGTCCTCAACATGGGAGGAAGTGCTGGCGCAGCGGGTGCTGATGTCGGGCGGGATCATCATTTTTACGCAGCATCCGGCTCTATAGGAGCCGGAGCAGGTGGCCCGCCTTTGTCGTCTTCCAGCTCGTTCCAGCCGCTTGGAACAACAGCCGGGGCGGGAAGTACAACTAGTACCAAGTCTACTTCAACATCCAAGCCGGCGATCAGCTACCAGCGGTCGCAGTCCTTCCACCATCGCCGCTCGATGCGGCAGAGCGTAGCAGGATTGCCACTAGGTGGAGGTCAGGCCGCCGGGCTAGGTGGAATATCGCCAGTGGATAATCCTGGTATATTAAACCGGGCCGTCGCGGGCGGGGCAACAAGTGTGATGAAGGGAACAAATCAACAGTTGGAGATGTTGAACCTCCATCAAGCAGACCTTTTGGAGCTGTTTTCTGGCACCACTGAGTATCAGCTGGGTACGAGTGCGAGCAATATTAACCAAAACCATAACAACCTCAATACAAATTCTGATTCTAGTCACAGCTGGACGGTGAAGCGGGTTGCGTTTTTCGAGGAGCTGGCGCGCCGACTGGGCTCGCGGAAGCACCGCGACCGGGCGCTGGTCGCGAAATACTTGCTGTTGGTCATTCGGGATGCACTCGACGGCAAGATGTTCATGCATGTCGCCGGTGAGCCGCTCCTGCGGTTTGTAAAGAGCGACGGTGGAGCAGGTACAACCAATACGACCGTTGGCGTCGACCACGTGGGAGCGCATCATCCAGGAAGCGCGAGCGGTACGTTTTTGCCCCAGGTGCTGGCGACCCTGAGTGCGTGCGACCTCGCACGGCATATGGATTGCAAATATGTCTGGGTCTGGAAACTTGTAATGCTAAAAGTAAATGGAAGACGCACTGCAGTGCGCAGCTATGCATGACAAATTTTTTGGCTGCCATGTCTTACGTATTCCGCATGGCAAACTGCGTTTTCGCGTGACAGGCAAGAGGGCCTTTTCGCGCCTATGCAACACAGATTCTCGAGTCATGCCAGACAAGCGCGACAAACTTGCACTCTTCCAGACCCAGACACTTTTGCAGTTCATACGGCAAATGCTACTGCAAAAGGGTGTTCTCGTGTCCTTTTTCAGACTGGTCGCCCAGGTAGTGGAAGACCTGAAGAGCCGAAATGCCAGCGTCATCTGCTTCTCGGATCATAGCATGAACGTCGCGGGGACCACCTCCATCGGAGCACCCCATCACCTCCAGGTCGTCACGGACCCAACGGCCTGTGCTGGTACTCCGAAAATAAACTACGGTGTTGACAATTACTACAGTACGCCCGTTGATCAACATCTTGGTCACAGTGCAAGAACTCCTTTGACTTCCGTAGTTCAAATAAATCTCGACAGCAGCGAAACCTCGTCCAGCACCTCCAACAATAACATGATGATGCGTCGCGCCTCTTGGGACGGCCTGCTGGTCGCGATTGCGGCTGCGATCGCGCGAATGTCTCTTTTTGCGGAAACCAGCGAGAAGCTCGGAGATTACCTGGAGCCGATCTGCGAGCTTCTCGGGCGCACTGGGCGGACCCACCCGTTCTGCCAGCGTTTTCTGGCCGCAGGGCTTTGTGCGCTCACCAGCGCCACCTCCGCGTGCGTCCACAAGACCGGGTCGCACGTGCAGCTGCAGAATGATCAGCCGGGAGCAGGAGGACTGGTAGCCGGGCAGAAAGCGCAGCTGTCCGGCCCGCAGCTCCAAGCAAGTATGAGCAGTTCTTTGCAAGCCGGATCTGGCACGGCAGGCACGAGCGGCAACTCAGGTAGTTTACAACTAGGGCACCAGCCGGGCGGCACTACAATCGAGCTTCCGCTGCTAGTCATCATCGCGAACTGCCTGGCGCGAGAGAGCACGCTGCCCGCGCGAGTCTGGTTGACCGGGTGCTTGGCAAACCTGGCGCAGGACAAGCTGAACGTGAAAACCATGCTGAATTCCAACGCGGTGCATGCGGGGCTGCACGAAATCGTCAAATTACCACCCAGTTTTCATCATGGTGCCGGGGGGGTACACCAGGTACAACAACTACAGGGGGCTGGAATTATGTCAATGTCTTCCACTTCTGTGCGTGCATCGCAAGACGGAGGGGTTGGCAGCCAAACACTTCATGCACAAACGACGATGGAAGGAGCAGCGAGTGTTACAACTACACCTGGCGAGCACCACGAACAGGATCTTGACGGAGCTGTAGACGAGCAACCAGGTGGGGAAAACATAAACAACGCGACGCAACATCTTCAGCAAGCTTCCAGCAACATGACGAGTACAATCACAAAACCGACCCGGCCGGACCTGGAAGGGGAAACGCCGGTGCTCCGGCGGCGGATGTTTCGCAACTGTGCATGGACGCTGCTGAACGTCGCGCGCACTTCCTCCTCCGCGGGCCTCCGCCTCTTGCCCTTGGTCCGGGCCAGCCTGCTGTTGCTGGCGAGCTCCAGCGCCGCCCGGCGCGAGGAGGAGCAGGACGAGATGCAGCTGCATGCAGGGGAAAAAGGAGGAACTCATCTTCAAAAGTCCCGCAGCGGGGCCAGCCGGCGGTGGCGCAAGGCGGTCAGCTTCGTCGCCTTCAACAAGCGTAAGGGCGTGGTCGGGGATACTGCAGGAGCTCCGAGTGGAGGAGGTTCTTGTAGCAGTTCTTCTGGACCAACTTCACGAGCAAGCGGAGGTACTAGAAGTGCCCTCAACAATAGTAGTGCCGGAGCAACATCATCATCAAGTGCACCTGCGTCAGAAACTAGCGCCGGTGAAAGTTATGCGACCGGGGGAAATGGTACTTCAGGAGGAACCAAAGCTTCTGGAACAGCATCAAGCAGGAACAGCGCGGGCAACAAGGCAGCTGGAGGGGGCAATAATTCTCAACAGGATGTAGTTGCCATCGACAGCAGTACGACATCAAGAACTTCTAGCCCCAGTTTTGTTTTAAGCCAACCCCATCCAGAAATCGCGAACATCATCGATCTGGCCTTTTCGCAGTGGGCGGGTACCCAGGATCATCATGCGGGCACAGGTTCTGGCACCTTCGCGAGCCGGCGAAACGACGGCGAGCTCGAGGCTTTTGTCGGCCAATTTCTGCTCAGAAACGAAATTCGCGAGCACGCGACGCACACGTTTCTGCACCGACTTGATGGGGACGTCCATTCTGGGCAACACGTTGCTGGTGCACCTCCACGGAGTACTTCAAGCGAGACGGCAGCTGGAAGGAGCAGTAGTAAAAAAAGTCTCAGTACAACTACAGCATCCTCATCAGCAGGTATAGCCACATCACCAGGAACAGTTGACGGCAGTGTCACCAAGACTGCTGCTTCGCCGTCCCTGTCGCCCTCAGCGAACAAGTATCCGCCCTTGCTCCACGCCGCCGCAACCGGGACCGAGGAAGAGCAGCGGGACGCGTTGTTCCTGTTGCATTCCCTGTTCCTCCTGGATAACCAGGAGTGCGTATTACAGTGAAAAATGCCCCCCACCCCTTAAATTGTAAAAATTTGTGATGCGAAGTTTCCAAATGAAGACGTTTTGTCATGCATGAAAGGAGTATGAATCTTTCCGATGCAGGGTCTAGGCGTGTATCGCATCGCTTGCATGACAAGCGCCGCTTTTGCTGGGGTCTTTTGTAATACAATACATTCTTGCTGTTCACGATTGGAAACCTGTGATGCTGATAGATGCAAGAGGGTGAGGGTTTCATTTGGAAAGGTTTGCAATACAAATTCTCCCAAGGTCGGGGGTGGGGGCATTTTTCAATGTAATAGTGCGTCCAGCACCGCGGCGTCGACGCCCTGGTTCTGCTCGCGCCCACGGCCACCGCTATGAACTGCAAAAGTATCGTACTCGTATAAATGCATTACAAATTTTCTCAGCATGAGAAATGAAATTTGTAATGCTGATTTGCCTTGACAAAGAAATTTGTAATGCAAGACCTGCATTTATACGAGTACGATACTTTTGCACAGGATAACCGCGGAGGTGCAGCAACTGTGTGTGGAATGTTTGCTGCAGCTGGCGCTGGTGAGCAGCAACGGTAGTTCAACAGCTGCTACGACTACTACGACCGCAGCAGGACCAGGAGCTTGTGGAACAAGAACGACCCGGCGAGGTGTTTTTGGAACCAAGCACATGACGAATGGATCATGTAGTGGAAACAAGAACAGCATCGGTGTCGTAGGTCCCACGACCTCGTGGGATAACAGTGGACTTCTGACTTCCAGCACATCTTCTTGTTCAGGACCCGTGAAGATGTCTCCTACCTCGACGCAAATGATTTCGTCCCACCACGTCGTCGGCACGTGGTCGAGTGGATCTTCTTCATCGCTGTTTGAAAATTGGCTCGGACACCTGGAGCCGATATCCGTGCTTCTCCTCTTAACAAACAGCCCAACCACGCAGGTCCGCAAAATGGCGGTCCTGGCGCTGTGGACCCTGGCCCGGGGTAATCACATCGACTGGGCGAAGGCCTGTTTCTCCCATGTCCCTCCCGCGGACATCGAGCACCACCTCTGGAGCCGATTGGCACCCAGGATAGACGCGTTTCGAAAGAGGTACGGAGGAGCTGGTAGCAAAGGCTTCGTGCAGCTGGCCAAAGATCAAGAGTCGCATCTGGAATCAGACCACTTATTGCACGAGGAGAAGAACAACTCTACGGTGTCTGGTGGTGAGATGCATAAAAAAGCGGCTGGCCGAACGGACGGAAATAATTTCAACTACGCGCATGGAGGTAGCTCTTCCGCGGATGAACAATTCAATAATGGCACCACCGACGACGGAACTTCGCCGCGGTTTCGGGACTACTTGTCGATCATCGGAGAAGGTGACGAGTCGGAGAGCCCGCGCAGCAGCCTCCTGGCCGACGAAGAGAACGAAGATGCTGGTGGTCGAGAATCATATCCATTGTTGAAAACATCATCCAGGGCGACGGTGCCAACCGGGTCGCAGGCTTTGGTTGTTGGCGCCGCGGCGCGTCACACTTCGACCGAGGCCGCGGGGGGGCAAGAAAATTTAGACGAAGATTCCGTAGGAGGTTTATTTGAAGATGTTCAACAAGTAGAACATGATCCTCTACTTATCCAACAAGCACCTTCGTTTTCAAAAATTATCTCCGAGCCGGGTCTGCTCGCCCTCGCCTCCTTGGCTCGCGACAGCTCGCCGAGCCTGCAGGGGAAGTGTATTCTGCAGGTCCGGAAGTTCCTGACCGAGGAATTTTATTCATCCCAAAGTGCAGCAGCAGCGTCCACGTCCGTGCAGGGAGATCATGAACAAAATCTACCGGTTCGCTTCCAAGAGCTGCCCTTTCTCTCTCGCTGCGCTATATTGGAGACGCTGTTGACCCTCCAGCACACCGAGCTGCCGCACATCCACTTGTCTTTGCAGGACAGCTGGCAGCGACTGTTCGACCTGCTAGATTCCGAAATGCACCATCTAGAACCGGCGTTTTTCTGCGCAGCGGCCAAAACGCTGATCGAAATCGTTCGCGGAACGCAGGGCTACTTGCGCCGCAAATTTCCGCAGCTCGTGCCGGCGGTTTGTAAGATGAACAAGGTGTTGAACGAAGGTGGGGCCGCGGATGTAGTGCAAGAACTATCAACCACGAGCAGGCAGCTGAACGAGCAGGATGCCGCCGCTCGCTCCGACGAGCAGGAGCTGGACCGAATTGACTTGGCGATTCAGTCGGTCCATGTGCTGGGCACGCTGGCCGAAATCCCCTCGGTCGCGGCGTTTCTCCGTACACCAGCGATTCTTTCGGACGTCAAGGAGTTCTGCGAGGTGGTGCGGGGGTTTTTGAAACACTCGGCCGACTATTTCTTGCACGGGCAAGAACAAGAAGGAGAATTGAACAGCGACGACGAACACCAGCAAAGTGCTGGAGGTGACAAAAATACCGCGGTGGCCAGCGCCACGACGACTGCGTTCGGCAAAAGCCTGGCGCGGCGGCGCACCTTCCGGGCGACCCTGAGCGTAGCGCAGCCCGTGGCGGCGCTGAAAAGTGCAGGAGGTGGTACAACATCAAGTCAGCAATCGCCTGCCACGTCGCCGACCGGAGCAGGTGCCGGTTCTGTGGTTTTGGCTGGAATTATGAGTACTACTGCAACTACCGCAGGGCAGCAGGACGGAGTCTACTCAGCCGAAGGGAAGAACTCCAATTACATGGATGGAGCTGCTGCAGCAGGAGCAGCGGCTCCGACGTTGCTAGAAGCCTTTGGAGGATGTCCTTCTAGTGATGGCGATCAAAATGTGCAGGAAGTTTCTGCAGCCAGCTCACAAAACTTCAAGCGCGACCCGGCAAGACTCGCGGCGGAATTCGCAAATAAAAGTAGTACCAAAAATAAACAGCAAAACCACGACGATCAGGACAATATCAGCAGCTTCTCCGAAGAAAACGACAGGAAAAACAATTTCGGCGAAACTAGCGATTCCGAAACTACCTCCGACTCCGACAATTCTTCGTCCGCGGAGCAGCTCTCGGGTTTGCGTTTGCAGGAGAAATTTATCGTTGGAAAAAAACTGTGTAAGTGTAAGTGAGTCTGTGATGCAGAAAATGCAAATCAGTTTTCATGATGCTGTTTATGTTTTCCCTCAAGACCTACACTAAGACTCAAAGTTTTTTTCTTGGGATAAAACTGTGGTGCGTTTTACTACGTGTGGGCTCGTCTGGAACGGCGTTTTTGGCCGAAAACCGAAAGACCTTCGTGCACCTGATTGAGTACCTCGCCCAGTCAGATATCCTCTGCGAGTCCGCGCTGCGCGACCCCCTGCTGCTGTTGTGGGAAAAGGCGGCGCAGTGCAACGACTTTGAGTTGCTGCAGTTGTCCGTCCCTCTGTTTTCCGACTTATTGCACCACGGAACGCGGACCAACGACCCCGACCTGCTGTTCCGCCTGTCGTCTTGCGTCTTGGAGGACGCCGTCGCGCAGCTAGATGCTTCGACCTCCGTAGAGCTTGCCCGGGGGATTTGCGTCGCAATTTTAAAGCTCCGGGAAGAAATCACCGGGGAGGTGAGCTTAGGTGCACTCCTGTGCGACGGCGGGGCCGATGATGAAAAAGAACGTAATACTATCAACAGGTCTGATGTTGTCGACAGGAAGACGCGCTTTTCAGCGAGGCTCTCTTCGTCGATAGCGATTGGAAGTAGAACAGCTACACGTAACTCCAAAATCGTCGCAGCGGGAACATCAACAGCTACTTCTTCTAAAAGTGGCAGAAGCACGAGGAAAATGGATGGTTCTGGTTCCAGTGCGAACTACGACGTAAATAGTTGTAACATTAGCAACCTGACGCTGACCGAGCAGCAGCGTAAGAGCTGCGGTGCTGCTGTTACAGGTCCTAGCACAACTTCTGCCCTCCCGAATCGCGAAAGCGCTGTGCCGGATCAACACCGCGTGGGGGCTTCATCCTACAATCAGGATCTTTTCATCCCAAAAGACGTGCTGCGCGCCCTGCAGTCGCTGCTGATCGTTTTGTCTCGGCTGCAACGGAGGTTTGGATACGCCGTGCAGCAAGTGGTGTGCGACGGGTTAAAAATTATGTTGGCAGCTCCTGCTCCAGAAGGAAGTAGTATAGGACCTGGACCGCCAGGCCAGGACATGCGAAAATCTGCCTCGTCGTCAACCACGCTGCCAACAACTCGAAAGAGCAATAATTCGAGCACTCAAGCCTCTACTAATTCATCGACGAAGCCCTTTCCGGTGGACCTACTCCTGATTGCGCTGCACCGGTGCCAGACATACTATTGGAGCCGCGAAACTTCGTCCCTGCAACAGGAAAGGAGCGATGAAGTGAATTCTGCGCTGTATAATGGTGACAGCGGCTGGATGAACGACAGTAGCGGGCGGGAAAGTAATAAATCTGGCACTGCGAGCCATCCCATGATGCCGGGAATTTATTCATTTTCGAGAAGCAGCACCGCGGCAAATCGTTTAACAGAGAGTGATCTTGAATTCTCCCGCGAGAGCACTACACAACTCCCCGTCCCCGATAACAAAGGCCCTTTCTACCTTACGGAAAATGACCCACTACACCCGGCCTGGTTCTTGCAAATCGTGCTTGAGTTTCTCGAAAGCTTTGGCCCGGTACCGGAAAACTACCGTGCAGTTCAAGAATCAGTAGTCAAGAAGAAGAGTTCGAATCATCAAGGTGTTGAACAAGATAGTGCGCATGAAGTAGTACTAGAGCAGCTGCCAGATAATGCTGGTGTACAACAACCAGCGATGCAGTCGCCACACAACCCTCGTCCGTTGAATGCAGCTTCGTCCGGCGCACCGGAACTACAACCGCACTTCTTATCCCCTTCACCAATCCTTCTGCAACTCCTCTGTGCGGCGCACTGCTGGCTACTGGAAACGCGAATGGATTATATCGACCCGATGCCGATGAATAGTAGTGGCTGTACCGCTCCAGGAGGAGGGCCTGCAGCATCTACTTCTGCCATGGAAGTAGAAGGAGATGAAAGGGGCAAGCGCGACGACTACTACACCACGAGCAGTACTAGCACAACGATAAAGCGGGAGAGCAGCGGCGATAAAAATGGTCAAGCTGGCGCACATTTTTATTTTCAACCAGCAGGAGCCGGTCGTAGTTCAAATTCCTCCAAGTCCAAGCGAGAGCACGAGCAGGACCTCGAGTTGTCGAAAGCAGGAGGTGCAAGAACACCAAGAACAGCGGAGATGAAAAAGCGTTTTCTTCACTGTTGCAACAACTCTATCAGCACAGTGTCGCAACTGCTGTCGCAACTTTTAGCCGCAGTAGTGGTCCGAGCTCCACATGTTGACGGAGGTCCTGCTCTTGATAGTGGCGAATTACCAAAATCCATTCCAGGCGAAGAAGATGAACTACAACAAGCCATGAACACGAGCATCCGTGTTTTTGCGATTGAAAACTTGGAGAACACGTTGAAACTAGAGGATCATTTAGCGGATACAATTCTCGCCTCCGTAGTTTCCGCACTGCGGGTACTTCTCATCAATAATCCCACTCGACGTCCGATCGGATGCGGATCAATAATTCCAGCACGACCGTCGCCGGATGATACTAATTTTTTTCCTGTTTCTCCGGACACCGACCTGGTGATCGCTAAACTGCTGCAGCATAGCAGGACCACGCGAAGATCTTCTTCTGCCGAGAACTTCTACTTACCGAGTTTAATCCTCTGAAAAATGCATTCCTGTCTGCATCTGCGCAAAAGGTAGTGTCTCGGATTCCCGAAGCGCTTGAGAGTACGCACGGCTGGCACATAAATGCTGCGGCTGTTTTCGGACCTCCGGGACCTTGGCTTATAGAAATCCCCGGCCCTGGCGGTCCGTAGCTTCGAGTGCTTCGATGCCAATTTCTCAGCGGGCATGGTACTCACGCCGTCGCCCGACCGGGTCCGAGGGTGTGTCTGCAGGGGTTGTTGCATGCCAATTTGCAATGTTTTTTGTGGCGCGTCTCGGACGGCTGACCGCAAGACACCTCAACCGGCCTGAGTCTAGCGCTATGGCCGGCATTGGTGGCCTTCGCGGTTGGGCGCCAGAATTAGAGCGCGTTACGCTGGGCTGTGTTTTACCCTGGCCCCGGTTTTTCTCTTACGCTTGGTTTCAGTGTGTTTTGCCCCAGTGCCTCTCTGACATTCTCCGCCCGGCTCTCTTTCTGGCGGCGGCGCTTTCGTTCTGCTTGGAGCCTCACGCGCCGTTTGAGTGCGGCTAGCCCCGATGCGTTGACGGCCAGCCAAAGGTCTTGGATTTGCATCCGAGCAACCATGAGGGCAAGTGCCGGCCTTCCGGGAAATAGCCTTTGGGGGTCGTCCTTGGGGGTTCAAGAATGGGGTATCCGACATTTTGCTCCGATGCATTTTTTTCCATCGTGATTCGCTTCAGAAAAAAACGCATCGGAGCAGTTTTTTTTCGAGGTTCTTGTTAGATGTATATGGACAACATTGGATCTCGTCCAATCTGCTCTGATGGAGACAGCGATGCGTTTTTCGGATCGAAGCCCTGGGCCTTGAGTGCCTTTGGACCGCTAACAACCTGAAGAGGTCCATCAGGGCAACTCACGCGAGCCTGGGGGCATTGCTCCCAACTTTGGTGACGAAATCGAGGAAAACATCGCCCAGATCCCTGATCCGGAAAACGCATCCGTGTCTCCATCGGAGCAAAATGCATCACCAGCAAACTTGCTCCGCTACGGTTTTCCTTCACGGAGGCACGGGTGTGCTTTTCGGATCAGAGATTCGAGCAAGCAAAGTAGCGAACTTGCTCTAGTGCCTTCGTTACTGCTTCGCTCTTTGTAAGACGGCTTGGCCTCTCTCCAAATGCAGCAGAGCAGCCTCGTGTCTGATATCAGTGCGCGCGCCAATGTCTTCAGGGCGGGTAGGTTTTTCGCTCTGTGTGGCCCTGATGCGGAGAGGCGGGGAATTGCATCGGAGCAAACTTCCAAAAACCTGCTGCAACAACCCCTTCCGAGGCCTTTTTCGTGCTTATCAGCCCAAGCAGGTCAAATTGTCTTCGAGCTCCTACATTTTGCGCAGATGCTGGCGCGGATGAAAATTTTGCGAAGATCTTCTTCTGCCGAGAACTTCAACTCACCGAGTAGTCTTATTAGCGTTAGCGTTAGCGTTAGCGTTTTGAGATTTGTTCGAACAAACGAAATTTTTTTTGATTTTGCATGTCACGTTAGCTACTTTCCGTTCAGACGAAGGAATAGTATCCAATATCATTCAAACAAGCGCCCCACCCGCCGCAGCAGCTTGGCGGAGCAGCCCTCGTCGGTCCCGTATGTGACAGCCAGGCCCTTCAGCTCCATGCTCCGCAGCGCCTAACTGGCGCGCCCTTCTCGGCACGCAAAAGAGTCGCGACCAAGGTCGCCGGTGTTTTGCCTGATTTGAAGGAAAATGCGGCAGATTGTAATGCGGGTTTGAGTTCAGGCCCGGCGTTCATTAGCGTTCTCGGGAGGACCAACAAAAAACGGCAAGATTTCTCGTCAAAATCATGCGACTTTGCGTGGTCGCCAAAAAAAACGCTAATAAACTCATGATAGCGTGCAGAAAGTGTAAATTTATGTCAACACCTAAAAAACGCTAATAAACTCTGGATAGCGTGCAGAAAGGGTGAGCTTATAAAAATTCGCTTTTTTTTTTCGCGAGAGCTTCCACGGTGCTATCATGAGTTTATTAGCGTTTTTTGTGAATCCAAGAAATGGAAAGCTTCCCCGGTGCTATCATGAGTTTATTAGCGTTTTTTTTTGCGACCACGCAAATTTGCCTCTGATCGGGGGGTCAAAATGACCTCCGAGGGCAAAAACGCTAATGCCAGATTTTTGGAAAATTGATCACTTTTCTCGAGTGCAAAAGCCGCAAGGGAAATACAGGTCTTGAGGCACTCCAGGAAGGACGGCTTGTCGGCCCGCCGCATGGTCAGGCGGTCGCGTAGCCGGAAGTCCGTGGAGCCCCAGACATGCGCGCGGCCGAGCCGTCGCCCACATCTTTGGCGGTATTATCTCCAATCCGCTCCGCAGCCGAAGAGACTGCTTCCACTGCTTCCAGTTTGCGCGAATCTGTCTGAACTGCACAGAGCTACCCCTCTAACTAGAATCAAGAAAAATTTGGCTTTCGCCAGCAAATTTCAAAACGCTAACGCTAATGCTTTTTTGTTGGATACGAAGATCTTCTTCTGCAGTAGAAAACTTCAACATACCGAGTATATGGCAATGGGAAACACTTTCTCTGAAAACTTTTTTTTTTTGCCACATATAAATTACCCGTCGCGGTGAGTAGATGGCTTTTTGCCGGCAAAGATCGACTGCGTGGCAACAGCGTCTGCAGTGGTATCCTGAGCTCGCTAGCGTGACGGCAAGAAGATTACCGCGCTCGGGGCTCACTGCGTCATGGCTTTGGGTCCGGCGTGGCCGGCGTAAATGTCGGAAGGCCAACCCCTGCAGTGCTGCCGCTTTAATGAAAGCAATACGCGGGCAGCCCAAGGCCGGACGTGCTGCGGGTTGGAGCCAGCAGCAGGCCCACGCCCCAGCAGGAGAAACAGGCGCCCGCGCGCAACTTCAAAATAATTCAAATCCATACGCGGCAGCGCTGACGACAGTGATGCCAGGGCCGCGGCGCTCCTCCGGGTCTGGGTCTCGGGGTGCGGTTTTTCGCCCCAGCCTGTTTTGCCAGGAGGCTAGCAGAGTTCCCTCCTCGGCTGCAAGTCGAAGTCCTCGGGGGCCCCCCCGAGGGGTCCCCCAACCCCCCCCCTTTTGGGGCCTTTGCCGAGAGCTACTCCCCATTGATATCTCCACGAAGGGGGGTCCCCCAAACCCCCCCCCTCAAGGGGGGGCCCGGCCGCGCTTTTTGTTTCCGCAAGTTTGCGGCTTTCGCAAGAATGCGGCTGGAACAGTGACAGCGCGAATTCGGCCAAGACGGGGATCTGTACATCAACCTGGCCCGGAACAAACCCAAAGACGCCGAAGTTCTCAGCCTGATCTGTATTTGTCTACTGGGGCACTTCGAAAGCTGGGGCGGGCGACGCCTAGAGGACACGCGCGTTTCAGACAGCCGCATCTAAGCGAGCCACTCAGAATTTCGCTGACTTACCGTGAGCCTCCGCGCCATACACAAAGGCCGCGGTGGGGGCATTGTGTGTCAAGTACCTTGAGGCCAGAGCGCCACGGACCGAATCCAAGGCCGCGGCTACTCCGGCGGCCGCATCTCTTTTGCGTCCCAGGTAGCTAGCTAAGTACCAAGAGCCGTCTACTCGCTTAGACAGATCTACTCTGCGCGTGCCCGCTTGTATGTCTATGGAGTGCCGTGAGATCATATGTGGCGAAAAAAAAAAGTTTTTTGAAAAAGTATTTCCCGAGCGAAGATCTTCTTCTGCCGAGAACTTCTACTTACCGAGTGATCTGACCGCTTCTATTACTGCCAAATCGCCCCAGCTATTATAACACCCTAGAACTTCAAAAAGACTTTTTAAAAACTTTTGCTGGTCGTGGACTTCGGGCTTCCGGCGCGCATGGTAAATTTTTTCCGAAAGAGCTTCCGTAGCGGGTGCAAAATCACACAAAAGGCCACACGGCCAGCACACAAAAGGGCAGAACAACAAGGCAGAACGGGCAGCAGAAACCTGCCCCCACTATGTAAAAAATGAGAACTACCCTCAGAATCCGTTGGGCGCGATTTTTCGCGCGATGGTATGGCGCGCATTCCGAAACAGCCAGAATCCGCTGGGCGCGATTTTTCGCCCCATGCTATGGTCGGCGCAAAAAGTGCGCGCTTTTCCTATCGCGGTGCCGAGGGGCTTGATTGTCTCCGGAGAACTTTCGCAAGACTTTCGCTGACCCGCCGCACAAAAAAAGGGCCACTTATTAGTTCCTATACCGCCTCTGAAATTGGCGTTTTTGGAGGTAGCAGTTGTTGGCCAAATCCGTGGCCCAGCGAAAGTTTTCCGGGAGGGCGGCGGGCCCGGAATCCGTTGGCCATTGGAAAGCCCTTCGCTTGCTGATGAAGCCGGCCGATTCGGGGTTGCGCCCGGTGAGGCTTCGCCGCCGGGGGTCTTGTGGGGGCGAGCAGGGCTTGAGACGGGGCCGGCCACGGCTGACGGCTGGGAGCTACTCAAACAGGCGCGAACATCCGCGCGCCGTAGCATGCGGCGAAAAATCGCGCCGAGCGGATTCTTGGCCGAAATGCGCCCGGCCATAAACCCAAAGAAGCAAGGGGCGCGGGCAGCCCCGACGCCATGCGGCGTTCCGGACCGCGCGGCGGGCCCAAGTAAGGGCGCGATGTGTGTTGCATTTCCCTGCTCACCGAAAGTTTTTGCAAAGTCTTTATGAAGTCTCCAGAAGTGTTTAGCGTTGGGGCGATTTGGCACTAAGCGAAGATCTTCTTCTGCCGAGAACTTCTACTTACCGAGTGATCTGACCGCTTCTACCAGAACAACGAGGGCATCTACTAATACATCGCATTCAACTTGTTCAGGCACTTCAACACTTGATGTTGAGGCCGCACTTTATTTGGACGTGCGCATACAAGCTCTAGGTGGAGTCGTAATGAATCAAGAGGTCAACAACACCACGCAGCAGAACAACGGCGCGGAAGCAAAGCACTACCGGTCTCTCTTGCACGACGCAGTGCAGCACTTTCGTGTTTTGGTGCGTGCCCTTGTGGAGCAAGTCGGGACTACAACAAGAAATCACCTCCCCGACGAGGCAAATCCAAATCCGATCGTGGCACAAACGGCGCTGCGTTGCTTAACAAAAGTGTTTCTCCACTACAAATCCGAGGACAGCAGCCGTGCAACCATTCACAACGCTGCGTTGTTTGCGGAATGTGTGTGCGACGATCTAGCTTCTCGCGTTTTGGAGATAATGACCAAAACTACAAACCTAGCGTGTAGTTCGGCGAGCCGAGATGAGCAGGAGGCAATGGCAAAAAAGCAAGGACGCCGAGAGGACCACGACACGGCAGGCAATCTTCCGGAAGAAATAAATGTGAAAGCGGAGAGAGATGAAAGAACAACTGGGATGCAGTATAGTACTCTACCACAACTACCTTCGGAACTCGCCCTAACTGCACTCGCTTCGGAAAATTCGTCTTTTCTTCTGGCGGAAGCGGCGCGTGCGGTGGCTTTGTTCAGTCGCGCTTCGCCGAGGTTTCGCGAGAAGGTGCTGGAGCTAGGAGGATTAAGTTTGGTTGTCGAATTGCTTCTCCTGGTGACGGAGGAAGAAGGAACTAATTCTCTCGACGATATGTTGCAAACGATAACGACTTCTGATCCTTCCGCAACCGCATCCTCGCCTTCTGAGAATAACAGTAAAGATGAACGAAACCAAGACCCCACGACAACTGGTGCTACAAATAAAACGACCAAGAAGACCGTCACGAGCAGTTTGTGCTTTGCGCTTGGGAGTTTGTTGCCAACAGACCTCCTCGCGCTTTCGCAGCAAATGAATAACACCCACAGGAGCGCGTGCCCGAACAAAACAGGAGGTCAACTAGTCTCGCCCGTGTGGGCGAAGCACTTTTTGCAGCCCATGAAGCTGAGATCTACGGGTACTACGGCAGCAACCACTCCATCTACTACGCGAGCAATGTCCTCTTCGTCCACTAAGAACAATACAACTCTCCCAGATGAAGGAGCTCTTGTTGTAGAGAAAAAGCTTGTGAAAACCTTGGTCGTACTCCTAAGCTCCCTCCCCACCGGCGCCTCCTACGCACTCGCCGGGTTGTTGTGCTGCGGCGGAAAACTTTCCGACTTTTGTCTGGCGGAGGGAATTGTCGCGCAATTCGTTCGGTTCGGATCGAGTTTAAAATTTGGCGACCACGTATTAAATTTGAAACCGGATGAGGGGGATTTCGATTTTGCTACGATGAAAAGCCCTGCACCTCGGTTTTCAGGGAAGAATTGCGCGAGCAGTAGTAGTCCAAGAACATCTTCGAAAAAACAACACGTTCTGGGGCACTCTACGAACTATGTTACCGGCATGAAAACGAAAAATCCTGAATCGCAGGAGGGAGATGCAACTAGTGGAGGAATTTTCCTTGCACAGGAAACTCAGGACGAGACTACAGAACCTGGTGGTCGTGCGGTGTCAAGAACAAGAATTATGTCGAGAAATGATTGTAACGACGAGGGGCAATACAACGTCGATCACCACGACCCGGACCTGCCGCCTCTGGAGTTTTCTCTCACCAAGATCCTGCAGTCGCTCGGGTTCAACAGCGACGCGAGGCGGGCTCTGTGTGCCAAGAGTTTGCCGCTCGCGAAGCAGTTCTACTATCTCGCGTGGGATACGCATGGGTACGAGTTTTTGCTGGAGGTCTTGTTCATGATCGGCATCCTGTCTGGGAATGACAAAGAGGGAGAGGCAGGTATTGGTTGTTGCCTGCTGGTAGAAATGTTGTTCCAAATTATGTGTAATTGTAATCATGTGATAAGATACAGATAGATACCATGTTCTCGCCAAGTGCGTTGTAGCAAGGTATTGCAAGTGTAGTTCTGATTGCTTTTATTTCAAATCAAATTCATCAAAACGCACAGTTCTGCTCCAGCAGGGACTCGTTCGCGAGATCGTGCAAGTGGCGCATTCCCGCGAAGTGCGTATGGACGTGGTCAAACGGGCGGAGTGGGTCTGTTCTGGGCTTTCCGAGGCTACCGTGTTGTACTTTGCACCCGTGCCGGAGGAAGAAAATTTGTTGCGGCTAGACCGGGAAAAGGTCATCGAAGGTCCTGCTCGTGGAAATAATAAGAGGGCAACTACTACTAGTACAACGACCGGAGGACTAGGTGGCACAACAAGCTGCAGCGCCAAAGGATCGAAGACAAAAGCTACAGATGGTTTTGATGCAGGGCAGGCTCATGGAAGCAGTAGAAGTGCAGGTGTTAACAGTTCATCGAAGACAATAAATCGGGAGACAACTACAACTACTACCGCAGGAAGAGAACAAGACCTCCTGCCTCGCAGTACTTCTGACGAAAATAAAGAGAAGGTCGTTTACAAGCCAAAAAAGACGCTGCGGTTTGGCAATTTGGCGAACATTGATGTGGACCACGACGATGACTCGGATGCTGGTGGGGATAAGCATGAAGCAGGATTAGCCACTGTAAATGCAGACGGACATGATCCAAGCAACACCAAGCCATCCCCCTGGAAATCGAAGATACAGAAGGCGGTCCGCCGCGTCACCGAAGCGGTTTCTTCTTCCTCCAGCACGCGCTCGCGCGTGACCCAGATGATGGTTGGAGGTGGAACGGAAGACCACTCTCCCGGCGAACAAGGGCAACAAGCTTCGCAGAAACTTTCCGCTATCCGCAAGGCGAAATCTGATGGAGCAGCAGCAGCCAGTAGAACAAATTATGGAAGCAATAAGAACAAAACCTCGTACTCGAGAAGCAATAAAAAGTCTCATTTGGCGAAAGCGAATCAACACAAGGGCGGCGGCGGTCCTGGGACGCTCGATTTGGACACTTTTCCTCCCCCAACCTCTCCGAACAACTCGGGCACCAGCTACGCGAACCGCAAAACCGTGACGGAGCTGAAAAATTTTTCCCTGTGGAAGGCGAAAGAGGGCTTAGCGAAAAGGAAATCAGAGTATCGCGGGCGCGCGACTGTCCTCGTCGGAGGACAAAATAACCAAGGGCTCTTGTCGTCGCCGGGCGGCGGAGCGCATAATTATCGGGGAGTTGGTACTAACAAGGATATTAGCAGCAACCTGGCTAGTCCGAATGCAGGCGCGGGTGGAGCTGCAGCTACTTCATCGGCGCATAACAAGCGAGGACAGGCTGCCTGGAAAAATCTGGTGAACGATGTGCGAGACATGTTTGCGCTGCTGAGCGATAGCCTGGAGAAAACAAATATTGCTGTCGTGAACAACAATAGCAGTGGCAATACCGGTCAGACTACTTCGCCGACCGGTGCAGGGGCCGGGGCTGGTGCAGCGGGAGCTAGTGGGATGAATAACACAACGGCCGCTCTCGCTTGTGGCATGATGCCAGACGCTAGCGCCACGGCAGGTGGACAACACCCTGGTGCGATGTTGTCCGAGCTTCACCACCAGGAACCTGGATTTCTTGGTAGAAGGGGTCTAGATAGTGAGTAAAGGTGGGGATTTTTGGGTTTTTTCATCAAGTTTAAGTTTTTTCAACAACAGTGTCGTTTGTATTCTTTCGGTAATTCTAATTTCAATTTGAAGTTCCGCTTCAAAGATAGTAGACGATAAAGTGCTAGAAGAAGATGAACGCAGACAAGTCAATCAATGTGCTGAGTATTCACAATCACACACACAGAGACGAAGGGAAAGTATGCATATGCCATGTCGTACCAAACACGAATTTATTGTAGGATAGTGATAGAATATTTTCACTCAGAGCAGATCGTCGCGAATCGAAGATGAGGAAGGAGAAATAAATGGAATGGAATCTTGTGCAAAACAAGAAGTAAGAAATGAGTAACGAAACAGTTACTTACAACAAACAGGATACTTACTACATATTGGGAAATAACACCAATACCACCCAAAATGCGAAATATTTCTGGCCTCGGCAAATGAACATCCTGAACGCAAGCGCCGCTCTATTGATGTTCCTGCATGTATGTTGCTCGGCCGTACTACACTCACGCCAGTGCTTCTGTAGATCCATTTTTATTGCGCACTTCACGTCGCGGAATTATTGGTTTTTTTAAAAATTGCGCTTGTATGGTTCTTGCAAAACTGGAGATCAGTATCAGAATCAGACGTCAAACGACTACGTCCTGGCTTGGCCATCAGCACTGTAGCTACAGCTTTTGGCGAGGTCTTGAAAATGAAAACTCTGTTTTGATCAGAAATTTGACGCTATTGCAAGTTCATTCCAATTTTCGTGGCATAAGCTGTTGCACCAATCTTTTTTGCGAAAGATCCAAGAATGCTTCATACGTACGATGATAAGTAAATTTCTTTGCCGAATTCATTTTTTATCGGTGAGAATTTCTTAGCGTCTCAAACGCAAATTAGCAAAAACGTTTCTGTCATTTCTCTATCTCTCATAAAACAGGTGCTGTGTTTTCGTGGTTGTCTGTTTGTATACCAGAGACCACCTCTTTTTTCATCTCAGAGAAATAAGTTGAATTGCGATTCTGGATTCATTTATTTCTGCAAATTTCTATCTGTTGCGCCTTCTTGAATTTACAATACTAGAAAAAATCACCTTGTGAGGACGTTGAAAATGCCGGCCCCCGCGATGTCTCAAGCCGCGATCGCGAAGCGCGATCAGTTGACGAAGTCCACGAAATTATCCCTGAAAGTGGATGCCCAGGTCTTCCTCCGAATCGCCAAGCACGCAAAACAGACGTACCCAAACAGTGCTTCCGGATCCCTTTTGGGCTTGGACGACGGGAAGAACGTGCGGGTTACCAACTGCTTTTCCTACAAAACCAAGCAGGACGGAGAGCCGTCGGACAACTTTCTGGAGTACCAGTACGGAGTTCTGAAGGCTATCGAAGAGGTGCGCGGGGACGCAAACGCTGTTGGATGGTATAGAGGTTTTTGCATTTATTTTACAAGGTGGTGCGTATCTATTGGTATTGCATTATCACCATCACATCCTTTTTTACAGTTCGCGTCTCTGCATGACAAAATGATGCTCATCATATGATAAATTATCCAAAGGTACGAGTCAACGCACCACGGTATTTTCCTCACGGAGGCATTCATTGAGAACCAGTACCAGTTTCAGAAGGAGGTCCCGTCCGCGGTGGTTCTGGTATACGACCCAGCAAAGCAGAAGGTGGGCACCTGCGGCTTCAAGGCCTACAGGCTCACAGACGCGGCGATGCACAAAAAACTCACCATGAACATCGACGAGGTACTAGTTTAAGATGATTTTGAAGATATCTTTTGGCATGATAAAGTGAATGCAGAATGAATATTTACTACGACTTGGACACCACTTTGTGCGTCTTGCGCCTAGTAGTAGTGTATGATAAAAAATTATTGACCCGAAATAAGAATTACAATTATCCGATGTTCATGTTAAATTCACTTCTATCCCTATGAAACACGACAGGACACGGACCCTTTCGCAGACTTCCCGTCTTCCGACCTTTTGGAGGAGGTCCCGGTCTACGTCCACTGTTCCCCGTTGGTCGAAACCTTGATGCTTCAAATGGACGCCCAGTCCACCGCTGCGTTTGATTTGGACTCCGCGGGCCCGGCCATGGACCGCAACCTGCAGCTCTTGCTCGAATCTTTGGAAGAGCTGTCCCAGCAGCAGCGGGAGATGCAGATGTACGAACGGCTGACGCGGGCGCAGAAGGAGAAGCAGCAGAAAACGCAGCGGGTGCCGAAAGCGGTGGATACCCTGAACCTGACCAAGCAAATCCAGGCCCACTGCGCCACGGTGGATGAGCACGCACAGGACACGTTCGCGAAGCTGTTTTTGTTGGACGCGAAAATCAGCAAGGACCCGAAGGACGGCAACAGCAAGGTCAGGACGGTCATGGAAAAATTGCAGAACTAAAAAATTATACTAGTTCTTGTGCGATGTTGAAGATGAGCAGTATTGTGGTGGAATCAGCTGCAAATACTTGACACATCTACGGCCAGCGGTTTTGGTTTCACACAAGCAACCGCAGAAAAAGGATAGCAGTACACTGACTATATTAAACGAAAGGATTTCAACATCACCGAATCGGCAAGATGAAATGCAAATCTTGTGCTGGACGAGCCAATAAATCTGCTGGGGTACATCAACTCTACGTTTTTAGAACTAGAAGTAGGAGCCGCGATACAAGAACTTGTACCACTGGAAACAGCGGGATGAAATGAAATTCGTACCTTTTCAGAATTCGTCGATTTATGCATCTAACGACATTGCGTGCGCAAATTGTTTTTAGGATTACCATTTACTACTACTCCAACGCCTCTTTCGGCCCTTCCGAAGGCTAAGGGGCGCTCAAAGGGAGGGCGCGGCCATACCGATAAATCCTAACCATGTTGTTCATACAGTATCGTCGCGGCAAATAGTACAACGAATACTTGGAGGCGTTGATGTTGCCTCATCGTCATCCACGGTTCGAAATTATCGCAATATGAGAGTTTATGATGTCTGACAGTGAGAGACGAGGAGGCACAACCGGTTCTTTGCGTTTCGTTCTCGTGTCCTCGAGCTGCATCGTCAAAATAATTACCATCTATTCGTTTAGTTGAGAGATTCGAGGTTCTTGCTCGGCGTCTTGCACACTGTCGTCGGCTTACTATCGTCTTTGGCGTCCCACCCTAGGGCTTTGGCCTTCTTCACACACACAAAATCAAAGAGCAATGTTAGTTTATATGTAGCTCCTCCCACAGAAGATTTTATGTAGAACTGGTTTTTTGTATAATGCAGAAGCGGATGCTCTAGCTCTTGTTGCTCTTGCCCCGTATGGTTCACTAAGAAATCCAAGAACTACTCGAACTTGCGGCGGATAGTTTGTGGCCGAATCCATCTCCCGAACCAGATTGAGATTGCGGCAATTACCGTGCTCGTTCCTTCGCATCTTCGTTTATTTCGCGTGCTGCCCGCGGACAAGAACAAGTTATAAAAGTTCAAAATTGACCACGATGCCGGCCCTAACGGGAGACCACAGCCGGGCTTCCACGAAGTCCGCGCCCAGTCGCCCCCCCAGACACGACGAACCCTACAATGCGAGCAAAAGGAATTCGGTCAAGAGCACGGGATATGCACCGCAAAAGTATCGTACTAGTATAAATCGCAATACAAATTGGCTCAGGATTACAAATGAAATTTGCAATGCGGATTTAGCTAACCAACTAGATTTGTAATGCATGACGACTGCAAAGATTAGTACGAGTGCGATACTTTTGCAGTGCATACGGGAAGCACCAAGTCAAAAGAGGACAAGACGGTCGACGCGCAGATGGCTCTTATGACAGTGCACAACTCGCCCTCTCCCTTTTTTGCAGGTATAGCATGAACGGCAGTACAAGCATCAGCATGACAGATTTGGACTTGAGTGCAGTCCTATTTGGGCTACCAGAACTTGTCATGCAAACAGTGCCAAGGGGCAAGGGGTGGATTGGGTACTTTGCATGGCAAATGAGGGGTAGGGGGAGTTGTGCACTGTCATATCTCTCATAGAGGACCAAGAAATCATCGACGACTTGCTGGATCTTGGTACAATTTATTTGCTGGATTAAACGAAAAACAGCCTGTAAGAGTTTTCCTGTCGGGCTGACGCGCTGCGGCTGCATGGGAAATCAACTATTATTTGTCATCACTCTCCTTCAGCTATGAATCTGTAATGCTATATACGCATGTGAACATCAAGGTTTTACCAAGCGGGAGATCGGAAAAATGGACTTAAATCGGCGGGCCGTGCTGCACCCAAAAGGGTCGGACGGGAGTTGGGGCCGCCCCGATCCTGCCGCGGTGCGGAAGAGTGCGCGCGCTTTGATACAATGGTTCGACCGAGACGTCCAGTGGGAAGAAGGCGAGCATATGGACATGCAACGAATGAGTACAATTTTGGATTTTCATAATTGTGGTTTATGCATCTACTTCACAAAGCTGCTTCCTCCATTTGCTTTTTGCATTCCCATTCCATATCCATACTCTTTCTTGATGCATCATCTTCACAAAGCTTGCAGCAGTTGCACACGACCTTGATAAAAAAACACTATCAGCCTTCACCCTGTTCGAGACGGTCGCACGGCACGGCCTCCGCCTGCGCGCTCTACGAATTGCAAAAATGTCCGGGTCTGGAAGATTACAACTTGTCATGGTAAATCTGAAGCATGCAAAAATCTGTGTTGCATGAGTGCCAACAGCTGTCCACTTTTGACCAAGTTGGAACGGAGTTTCCGATGCAGAATAGGCGTGGCAGACGCAGAGACCTCGCAGAGTCTGTCATGCTAAGTCCGGCATTCCAGACCTCATGGGTCATGGAAAATCTGCATGACAAGTCTACACTCTTCCAGACCCACACACTTCTGCACTTGATACGCTCTGCGCGACGTCGACTTGATGCGCGTCCTGGACACGAATAAGATCCACATGGAAACTATGCAGTGCAAATATGTCTGGATCTGGAAGGTTGCAACTTGTCATGTTAAGTCTGGATTGTAAAAAAATCTGTGTTGCATGGTTGCCACAGAAATCTGTCCACTTTTGACCAATTTCTTTGCGAGGAAGTTTCTCATGCGGGCCAGGCATGAGAAAGATCTCACAGAATCTGTCATGGCACGCCAGACCTCATGGGTCATGGAAAACCTGCATGACAGATCTCACATTCTTCCAGACCCAGACATATTTGCATTTGATAGAAACCACCAGCGGGGTCAAGATCCTCGATGACAGTCGAATCGTCATGAAGCGAAAATCGAGGAAAGAAGAGGAGGAAAGGGAGAACATTTTAGTTTCCATCGACGCCTTCGTGTCCATGGTGCCAAGTTTGCTCGAAAGAGACGCGCTGAAGCAAATGTTCCAAGACCAGGACAAGGAAGCCCCACCGAGCGAAGAGATCATGACGAGGGTCTTTCGCGAGTTCGCAAGCAAAAAACTGCATCGTATTTTTTTGAATTTGATACGAGTTCTTCTTCTTTCTCGCATACAGTTTCGTTCTCAACAATGAAGAAACTCCTGCTTCTTTTGTTCTATCTTCAACAAATGTCGTTCACTGGTGGGTCGTGCACCACGTCGCACTAGCACAGTTAATACGAGCATCATGAAAAGAAAGAAATCCAAATCCTACAACAATTCTCCACTCCGAAATAAAGGTCCGGGCGACAAGGGCACGGCGGACCCGGAGCGGCCGGCTTGTTTGTCGGAGCCAACGGTGGTGGAGATTTTCGAGTTCTTCGAGGTCTATATGACAACGAAAGACGTGACGTATCTCTTCCAGCAGATCGACAAGGACCGGTCGGGAACGATCGAAGAAAACGAATGGAAGGAGTTTTTCAAAAAAGCCTCCCACCGGGAGAGGCTGAAAAAGCGGGCGTGTTTGCAGGACGCGTATCTGCGAACGTTGTTTGAAGAATTCGACGTCGCAGCGAGGGGGTTTTTGACCATGGATGACCTGATGAACATCGTATAGTTTTATTGCTTCGTTGTATTGCGATATTCGCATGACACGCTTTGCCTGCGTATTGTTATCCCGCATGAGAAATTTTATTGCCAATGATCTGAAATTACTTTCAGATTCGTTTCATCAACCTGCGGATGTCGGAGAACGTCGCAGAGTATCCCGTGCAAAAGTTAAGCATACTCGTATTAAATGCAATCACGCATGACAAATCTCCTTCCTTACCTGAAGCAGCATGACAAATTTCATTGCGATTGGTAGTGCTAGCGGTTTTGCGAAGATATTACTTTTGCAATGCATACAGAGAAGCTGTTTTTCCAGATCGACGATAACCACAACAACCGCATTGAACTCGACGAATTCATGGGTTTTTTTCAAGCAGTCCAAAGCCAAGACGACATGAAGCAGAAAATACAACAGTACAATAAGTTTTTTTCAAGATGTGCATCTTCGTGACAACTTTGATGGAATAATAACCCCCCCCCCGCCGCCCCCAGAGGTAGCGCCGTCGTGTCTGCATTATTACATACGAGAAAACTGAACACAGAATTCTGCTGCATGAAAAAAAAAACAGGATGTCGACCAAAAAGGAACGATCCCAGTGGTGCCAACTCGCTATTGGCCTCGCGGCACTGATCGCCTTCATTGTCTGCATTATTGTGGAGCTGGTGCCGTTGGCGATAGTAACCGGTTCGATGGTCGGAATCTTCGTGCTGAATTTTATCGGCTGGAAGAACGTGGTAGATTTTACTATTTTGCTGAGTTTTGGTCGGTTTAATATCTTCTGGCAAAGGGTGAGGCAGATTCTCTTCTAGAAAGGTCTCCTTTGCAGCTGCCTTCGTGCCCATTTTTTATTTCGTGGCGTGGTCGTATCCGTATCGTGCGCATTATCCGTGCAACTACTACACCGCGAAAAATAAATATCAGGAGCGATTTGGCGGTTGCCTGCAGCGCAACACCTGCGTCTTCACCGTGAAACGGCTTCGCTACGTCACCGTGTCCTGGGGTATTCTGTTTCTCGTGTTCGTGATCTGGCACCAGTTTGACCAAGCGGAAATCGACGGGGACCACACGCGACAGGGCGAAAAAGCCGTGATTCCAAAGGGTTTTATCACCTTTTATCCTGAGTAAAAACGTACCCACACCAGAGTCAGGATGGGGATTTTGCAACACAAACCTAGGAGCTTTGTGAGTCATGCATGACAAGTTGCACTATGCAGTGTAGTGCAGGTTAGCAAGTGCAGCCGCGTCACAGATTCATCTGCTCATCCTGTTCACAGCATCACAAATTCCAAAACACGATTGGAAATGGCTCTCATGGAGATGCGCATTACAAGTCTTCCTCTCTTTGCAAATCTGCATTACAACTCTGGTGTGGGTACGTTTTTACTCAGGATACCTTTGGCTGGGTGTTCCTCGTCATTCTCCTCGCTTATCAAATGCAAAAATGTCTGGGTCTGGAAGTTTGCAACTTGTAATGCTGTTTTTGAATTCCGAAAAAATCTGTATTGCATGACCAGCAACAGGAGTCCAATTTGTGTTACGCAGAGAGGGCATTTCTCATGCGAAATAGGCATCAGGAGGGTCTCTAAAAGCCTGTGATGCTACGGCTTGCATCACAGACGTCATCGGTCATGGAAAATATGCATGACAAATCTAGAAATCTTCCAGACCCAGACATTTTTGCAATTCATATCGCTTTGAACGTACTGATTTACATTGAATCCAACTTCAAAATGGCGTCGCGCGTGCAGAAGTTCGTTGCGGAGTCTCCGAGGGCACGGCAAGCAGCGGCGATCCGAGGAAAACTCATTAGCTTGGGGACATGTACTTATTACTATAAAGTTGCTCTCGTTCTGTATGTTTATGTTTTTCATCTTTTTCATCATGGTTCTTGTTGCGAGAATGATGGTCAACATTGTTCCGAATCAGTAGCTGATCGTTCATCTGCTCTTGCTCTAGAAACATCAGACTGCAAATGTTTTTCCTGTAGCGAACTACTTGTTGTCACGACGTCGACCGAAGAAATTAGTGTGTCCAAATGAATGAAGACAACAAGTGCCACTGCCATCTTCTAACCACTACCACAGATCCTATCGGTGCGGCCTCTCCCAAGCAGTCCTCCTCCCCCCGGCGCAGCCCGCGAAGACATCGCAAAAACTCCTTCTCCCGGGACCGGGCGAACGCTTACGCTGCTGCCGCGATTCCGCCAGACTACGGGGACAGCAGTTTTGGCGCGAATAGTTTCGGCGCGAGTCGGACCAGCGGCTTTGGTGGAGGAGGCAGTAAACTGAGCCAGGTGCGAGTCGACTACGAGCCCGACACGACGACCACGAGATGGCAGAATTCCCCCACAAAGGGCACGCGGCCGATCGTGAGCCGGGAGGGCGGGGACCGCAACAAGGGTATCGACCGGGCCAGCTCGGCGAAAATCGAACCCTTCCGCCCGCTCTCGGAACAGGGGGCGCGGGGGCAGATAGCCGGTATGAAAAAGGGCGACCAGGTGACGGGGATGGGGATTCTGAAAAAGGGTCTGGACGAGTGAAAGTAGTGAAGTTGATTTTTACAATTTTCGCACGGTCGAGGTCGTGGAGGACTTCGAAACCAGTCGGCTCCATGTGACATCAACATCGAGAATATTAATTAATTCAGACATTTCCATCACTGGTGAATCGGATAAAAATTTTGATTCGTCCTGTTAGCAGAACTAAGCGGCTAGCACTTTGTATTTGGAAAAGAAGACAAATCTCTGCCTCACTATGAGGGCGCGTTGGTTGTGTGAATGGCCATGAAAACGAAAGGCACTTCAGTACTTATCAGGCGAGGTCGCGTCCTCAACAGAGCGACGCTACGAGCGCAATTAAACTGCATTTCGAGAATACAGGCCCCGAAAGACGAAAAAGCTGTGCATAAAAGCAGTGCTTTTTTTCGAATTTACAGAGTGAAACTTGATGTACTGCAAAATCCCTGGAGATAAAAGGGTGCTGCAGAAACTACTGAAAAAAGGAATTCGCCTTGGAGTGGTGTGTTCGTTTGTATGAATAAGTGCAGCGGTGTGCTACAGCCCGAGAAACGCGATCAACCGCAGGCGTTTGATATCATTCACCCGTGCTGGAGATCTTCGGACTTTTTTTCTACTAAAAACGGATAAAACCGACGGGCACAAACAAAGCTTGGCATGCCATCGTTGAGAGGACAGGATGTCCTTGATAGGTCACAAGATATTCCTCGACGCAACGCCCTCGCACCAGGCTCCAAAGCTCTATCACTTACGCACCGGCGCTATTTCCCATAAGTACAAACTAGCTACACGTCGCGCTGCTAAATTTATTACTTTCAGTTGTTTCTCAATTCTCATCTCGTGTGATCCATAACGACTTCGACTTTAACGCGTTCCGGGCTAGGTACCCCCTTTGTCCCCCTGGCTATATATCAAAAGACGGAAAATTTTGATTTTGTGCGAATAAACCCCCCGCCATTACACCCTCACGTAAGTACTAAGTTCGTTTGAACCCCCAAAGTCAGGTGGCAGATGGCAGATCTCCTTCATCTGGCCTGCAGTCTACAGTGAAAAGCGCCCAGACATCACAGCACATCATGTCGGCGGGCTCAGGAGCGCACCACGGCGAGGCTGCGTCTTCTTCCGCGTCTTCCTCATCCCGGCCGACTGGGTCGAGGAATGGTCGTCGCGGCACTCCGCCCCGGATCATGAATAACAATCGCGCCGTCCTTCACGCGACGGAGCGCCGTCGGGCGTCCCAGGACCCACGCAGGAGAAATTCACAACAACGAGGTGGTCACCAACTACTCCCACTGAGAGCGACGCAACGGCACGTGGAAGTGGTAGCGCAACGGAGAGGACCACGTCGGGAACAAACCAGCAGGAGCCCATTGCCGCACGGCCAGGAAACTACCAGAGCTGTGCTGGAGGAGGATGCTGAACCTGCTGAAGTTGTCCCGGAAGATGTAGGCCATCAAGCGCAGGACAATATCACAACCACGCTCGATCTTCAAGAGGCCCAAGAGCGAGGACCGGGCGTTGGTGTAGCATCAGAGGATATAGAATCAGAGGATCAGGCCCAGGTGGAGCGAGGACCGGGCGTTGGTGTAGCATCAGAGGACATAGAAGACCTCCCCGGGCGGCTGCCCGGAGCGCGGACAGCGGGAGAGACTGAGAACGTAGAAGATTTGAACGAGAACGAAGATAATTGCAATTTCGGCCAACAAGCTGAAGCTGTTCCGCTCGTTGCGCACGCGGCGCCGGCAGCACCACCTCGTGGTTCACGTGGTGGTGTGGAAGATAGAGCTGCACGGGAAGTAAATGCAGCTGCCAGGGCCGCGGACGAGGCTCGCGTAGTTGAAGTTGTGCCCCCACCAGAACAAGATTTGGCACAACAACGAGAACCTGCAAATGTAGAGAACTATGACAGCGTTGACGGTGACGACTCAGAAGATGTAGATTTCGAGGACGATAATTTACTTGGTGATTTTTACGAGCTAGCGGGTGATTACATGACGGATGAAGAGGAAGATGATAGTGAAGAGGAAGCACTAGAAGGTGGTGCTCTTTTTCGTCCACCGGGAGGTGGTGGTCCGCGACTCCGGGTTTTGCACGAAGACCACGACGGTGAGTTCGTCCTACAGCAACTTGGGTTGGGCGCAGGGCGTGCCAATTTAGCCCCCCCAAGACCCGGGGTGAACGCGCAAGAGCACCGGGCACGGGTGTTTGAGGAGCAGGTCCGGATGGTGCAAGCACTCATGGCAGCAGGAGGGCAGGACGAGGAGGAGGACGAGGAGCAGGGCGGTCGTGGACCAGCTGACCAAGGCCAAGCTGATGAAGAGGAACTTCTACACGAAGAAGCGGAAGAACAAGAACCGGAACAACATGAACTACAACCCGACGGTCCACAAACCATCCGCTTGTCCTGGACGGAGCCGTCGTTTTTGTGGAATTTGAGGCTGTTGCAACCCGGGTTCGTAAAGGACGGGCAGACAATTATATTGCGGAAGATGAAAAAATCTTCGAAAAGGACGAGTGTTCGTGGTCCTGCTGCGGGTCCGCTTGGTCCCCGCGGCACCATAGAGGACGAAACTGCCCACCGCGGCCCCAACAAGGAGAAGGAATTGGCCGACGGCAAAGATGGGCGAGATCATAGAGAACTTCATGGCCAAATGAAATCGTCTATTTCACAACCGCACCCTTCTTCTTCTTCGTCGTCGAATAAGCGTGCGCGGGAACAAGTACTAGAGACTGCAACGACACGGAATAGAGAGCCTGCTCTGGACAACGACGACGACGCGAGCAACGGGAAGAAAAATGATGTTAGGTCGAGCAATGTCGACGTCCTCCACGACAAAGAACAAGAAGTATTAAAGACGGAGAAGGGAAATAACCGCAAGATGTTCAGAAACAAGAGAGCGGTGGACAAAATAAATGCATGCCCGGGCAGTAGCAGGCTAGCGAGCCTGTGAGCCTAGGCTGAGGCTGGACGGGCGATATTTTATGTCTGTCCGAGCCTCGCCCTTTTCCGGTAGCCGGGACCTGATGACTGTGAGGGCGAGCCTCTTCCCGTTCTGGGTTGAAGTTTATTT